TCAAGCAAATTCCCAAATGAGGGCCCACTATAGAAATCACCTCTGAAACAGTAATTCCTGTCTGAGGATGACTTCAAAAACTCTGCCAATCGATGCTCAAACGTGAGCCAAAAGAAACAAGAAAACTCTAACAAATTCCCATGAGCTTACCAACAGACCAACACAGTCCAGAAAGTAAATTCCCAGGGGAAGAGGAAAAATGTGTCTTATAGGTGGATGTCTTTCTTCAACGTCACATCAGAAACCTTGCAGTTTACCCGATGACCCAGTAAAGGAACCAACGCCCCCACCATTCCACATGGGCAGTTCACTCCAGTCACTGATGAGAAGATAAAAGGTCTGTCTTACGATATCACACTTTTTTTTTTTTTGAGACCAAGTTTCACTCTTTTTGTCCAGCCTGGAGTGCAATGGCACGATCTCAGCTCACTGCAACCTCTGCCTCAGGTTCAAGTGATTCTTCTGCCTCAGCCTCCCAAGCAGTTGGGATTACAGGAGTGCACCACTATGCTCGGCTAATTTTGTGTTTTTAGTAGAGACCACGTTTCGCCATGTAGGCCAGGCTGGTTTTGAACTCCTGACCTCAGGTGATCCACCCACCTTGGCCTCTCAAAGTGCTGGGATTACAGGCATGAGCCACAGTGTCCGGCCTGATTTCATATATTTTTTTAATCTTACAAGTTAACATAAAATGGAAATGTGAGCATCAAAAAAAAAAAAAAAGTTCAAAATCACCATCTACTCTCATCTACTTTAAGACCTAAGAATTAAGCAGAGGATAATTTTCATAAACCTAAAATCATGATAAATCATATTTTTCATGGTAGTTAAATCAAACTGATATTTTAGCACTTCTCTGAGCCTCTATAAAAACACAAGCTTAAGCCACACGCGGTGGCTCACGCCTGTAATCCCAGCAGTTTGGGATGCTGAGGTAGGTGGATCGCAAGGTCAGGAGACTGAGACCATCCTGGCCAACATGGTGAAACCCCGTCTCTACTAAAAATTCAAAAATTAGCCAGGCGTGGTGACGGGTGCCTGTAGTTCCAGCTACTCGGGAGGCTGAGGCAGGAGAATCGCTTGACCCTGGGAGGCAGAGGTTGCAGTGAGCCGAGATTGCAGCACTGCACTCCAGCCTGACAACAGAGCCAGATTCCATCTCAAAAACAAAAAAACAAAAAAAATGTAAATGCATAAGGCATGTCACAGAGGCCTACCAGGGGGGAGTGGAGGAGCCTGGTGGCCACCTCCTGATGACCGGCCACCACGCACAGATAGCAAAGGAGATTCAGCTTGGCTCGGGAGGCCCCTGTGCTCTTCTCGGTGCAGTCGATCTGCGAGCACACTTGTTGCAAAAAGTCATTCCAATCTTGGTCTTTCAGAAATAGTAACTTATCCACTGCCAGGGAAAGAAAATGATAAAAGCATGTATGAGAAAAAGAACTGTTAGAAACACTCCATGAGCAATAAGCAGGGAATGACAACAGCTAGGATGGGGACAAAGAAAACACTGCACTGTCAGAACCAAAAGTAACTCCAAAGATGACACGGCTTTTATTTGTCCTTCGATGGTCCTCATCTCTTTACTTATCCATGGAAACTTTTTCACCACGTCAAGGGAAAACCATGCTTCAAATAAAGCGATGTCTGAAGCACAGCTGTCCCGCAACCTAGACTATAACAAAATGCAAACTTCAATACAACTGAAGTAAAAGACAAAAGAGCCTTTGTGTATATGAATCAACTCTGAAACACTGGGAAAAGCACAAATCTTACAATTCTTAAAAAGTTCCAATAGGCCGATTGTGGTGGTTCACGCCTGTAATCCTGGCACTTTGGGAAGCCAAGGCAGGCGGATCAGAAGGTCAGGAATTCAAGACCAGCCTGGCCAACATAGTGAAACCCCGTCTCTACTAAAAATACAAAAAAAAAAAATTAGCCAGATGTGGTAGCGCATGCCTGTAATCCCAGCTACTTGGGAGACTGAGGCAGGAGAATCGCTTGAATCTAGAAGGTTCAAGGTTTTAACCTAGATCTCTGCAGTGAGCTGAGATCACACCACTGCACTCCAGCCTGGGTGACACAGCGAGACTCTGTCTCAAAAAAAATAAAATAAAATAAATTCCCAATAAAATTACTGTATTTAAAAAAAAAAAAAAAAAAAGGATAACATGATAGCTAAAATCACCTGAAATTCCAACCTCCAAATCCCTATACAAAAAAAGGCAAAATCTAAGAAGTGTGATACCCCCTAAAATTAACATATTTTCGGCTGATCTCTATCTTTAGACAAAATAAACTGTAAATATAATTTCCTAAATAACTCAAAGAAGAAAAAGGAAATCGTATTCCAGGTAGTAATTCTCTAGGTTTGCATAAATAGTCCTGCTTGGCACTGAAAGCACTGTTAATATTTTGCTTCACTTTGTTTGGTCTTTCAAAAACGTCCTTCTACACAGTTTCTTTTTTGTTTTTTATCAGTAATTAAGTTGATCGACATAAACCCTTAGCTGGTTTATTTAAAGCTAAATTTTATTTAAAGCTATATTTTAAATTTACTTCAAGTAATAGATTCTACTCTAGCCACGATGAATAACTTTCCCCAAATCGAGTTTAACAGCTTAAAATATAATTTGTTAAAAAAAAAAAAAAAAAAAAATTTTAAGAGATGTAAAAATTTCTGCCATTCACCCTAAATAAGATTTTCATTAGCGCAACTGAAATGTAGTAATCATCCTGTAAGCCTCCACTCCCACACCATCTCCACAGTCATGAGCCACCTCGTCCTGCTTTCAAATGTCCTGGTCCCTCCAACAAATCCCAGTCCTTCATTGCTGTCCCCAACCCTGTGCGCCTACAGCAGCCATAAATGGTGGAAATTCAACCAGCTCTATGAAGGGAGGGGCTGGAGGCCCCCACCCACTCTACAGGAAAACTTGCTCAGATGTACAGGAACCTCCCCACCCGCAAGAGGACAGGGCAGCCCAAACTCAGCTAAGAAATGTCAACCACTGGCACAAATGAATTACAGATTGTTTACAATTCGCCTAACACTGCCCCAAGAATATAACCAATTGTGGAGAAAAAATAAATTTAGTTTTTCACATACAAATATTCCATTTGCAAATAAGCTTCATATTTGTATCCATACACAGAGTCTACATGTTCAGTAAGTCCTTTAGCATCCTACCTGAATACGCGGGGAGATGCAATAGTTTTGGATCAAATTTAACTGGTGGTTGTTTCATTATCTGCAGTTAAAAAGGAAAAAAACAACTTTTGAGACGATTTTTTTTTTTTTTTTTGCATTTTAGGTTTTGGGGAACATGTGAAGAACATGCAAGATTGTTGCATAGGTACACACATGGCAGTGTGATTTGCTGCCTTCCTCCCCTTCACCTATATTTGGCATTTCTCCCCATGCTACCTCGAGACGATTTTTAAGATGGATTATCTGTCTCCTTATACATCCCTTATGTCAGATTATAAATCAATGAGGATAAAAAAAGAATGTGTAAAATGTGTTCCAAAAAAAAAATAAGAACTCAACAATGCCTTTCAGATTAAAACATACAAATACAGGTAATTTTTTTAATTATTTCAATTGATATCTGTAATAAAATAAAGCTTCATAGAAAAAAATTCACCCCTATCTCAGCTTCCATTTTAGCTAATTTACCTCTAGATTAAAAATTCAGTCATTCAACAAATATCTATTGGGTACGTGCCAAGGTAAGGCTCTATGCCAAATGCTCATGGGAATACAAAGGTATAAAAGACAAATCCTGTTTTCAGAAAGCTGACATTCTAGTTGGGAAGATGAGACAAACATCTGTTAAACAACAAAATATTTCACAATTCCAAACAGGCAGGACATTACAGACAAAACATGGACAGAAAGAATTTTTTTGTAAATAGTAGTTTAGAGAATACAGCAAGCACCTCAGCTGATACAGTTAGGACCAGGTTTGCAGAAAAGAAAGAAGGTGGGCTGCCGTCTTGAAGGATGGCTAGAACTTTATTGTTATATCAGAGAAGACACCACTCCAGGAAGCCATAATGGCATGAATTGGAAAGTGCACAATTTATTTGAGAAATGTGAAGAAACCATGTAGTTGGATTCATGAGCTTAGGGCAGTCAGATACTTCATCTTGAGACTTCGACTTAAAAAAGCAACCATCATTTCTATACCTAACTTCTGCAAAACTTCTCTATGTAATATTTTTAAAACCTTTACTAATAAAGTAAGTAACGAGCATTACTGTATTTATTGTAGTATTCTTACTAAAATGCATATTCTCATTCTAATCTCATAATCCAAATTCATAATATCATTCTAATTATGAGAAACCCTTAGACAAACCTAAATTAAGGGACATTGTACAAAACACTCAACCAGTTGCTCTTCAAAGTGTCAAGGACTTGAGTCACACGTTTTATAACATGTATTACAAAAAAATACAACAGACGGGCGCAATGGCTCAAGCCTGCAATTCCAGCACTTTAGGAGGCTGAGGCAGGTAAATCATGAGGTCAGGAGTTCAAGACCAGCCTGGGCAAGATGGTGAAACCCCATCTCTACTAAAACGACAAAAATTAGCCAGGCGCGGTGACAGGCGCCTATAATCCCAGCTACTCAGGAGGCTGAGGCAGGAGAATCGCTTGAACCCAGGCGGCAGAGGTTGCAGTGAGCTGAGATTGCTGAGATTGCCCCACTGCACTCCAGCCTGGGCAACAGAGGGAGAGTCTGTCTCAAAAAAAAAAAAAAAAAAAAAAAAAAAAGTGTCAAGTTCATGAAAGACAAAGTCTGAGAAATACTGACAAGGCCATGAAAGACTAGGACAGACGACAGGAGACTAAGGAGGCAGAACGCCTAACTGTAATGTGGCCTCCTGGGACGGAAAGACAGGACATTAAGGCAACGGGGAGAGTTCGAGGAAGTCTGGTAGCGTAGTCAACAGCACTACACTCAGCTTTTCTTTTATTTCTCCCTTTCTTTTTCAGGAAGATCACTTAGGACATTGCAAGCCCTCATTACACAGAGACATCAGCCACGTATCCTGCAACCACGATGACCACATTCCACTGCCCTCCACAAGGAGGAACAGGTAAGGGTTACCCCGCCTGACTGACTACAGCAGCGTCAATGCCCAGGCCTTGTTAATTAGACGACAGGCCTCTGCGATGCCAACATAAGAGCAGCTGGGTAAAGGTACACAGGAACCCTCAGCCTCTCCTCAGGCTAAAGCAGTTTAAAATGAAAAGTTCAACACAAAAATTTCCACTCACTAAGGCTTCCCAGAAACTATCAAATACGGTCACAGGAGGAAAACAAGACACAGAAAATTGACAGGCAGTCCAAGACGGCTTTGAATGTGGCCCAACACAAATTTGTAAACTTTCTTAAAACATTTTAAGATTTTTCTGCACATTTTTTGCTTTTTTAGTTCATCAGCTATCATTAGTGTATTTCATGTGTGGCCCAAGACAATCCCTCTTCCAGCGTGGCCCAGGGAAGCCAAAAGATTAGACACCCCGGGAAAGATACCACACACTGTTCTAGAAAGACCACTCTGAAAATCCCCCAATGCGCATCAAACTTAGCATAAAAAGTTACTCCGCCAGACACGTTAACTCACAAAAAGAATTAGCTCCATTATGAAAAACAGCTAAAAAATCTATATGAAATGCTATCTAGAAAATAAGCAGGAATCCAAGAATCCCTGTGGTCTAAAGCACAATAATGTTCCCAATGAGATGTAAGAAAACAGTCATGAATTAATACAGAAAAAGACATTTTAAAAAGAAAAAGCAGAAAAATTAACATAGGGAATAAGTGGAATGTGAGCATGGTGGGGAGCTAGAAGTCAAGACGAAACAGAGGGACTCAGGAACGCATTTGTTTTTTAGAGCAGATACTCATTATCTATCCCCTAGCCATAAAGTATTATATTCCAAAGACAAGAAGCAAGACAGCTGGCACTGGTTTGGAAGTACACCGTGAACCGTGACCCCTCCAGCCCCCCGTGTCTCCCCACCGTCTCCCCTGCAGTCTCAGCCTGTGAGAGGCGAGGGCTTCTGTGTGATCCGCCTGCCCAGCCAAGCCTGCTGAGCGCTGCCCTCTGACCGCCTCTGCCTTCAAAACACATTAGAGACTAAAATATTTAGAGTGGTTCGCAGTAGTGCACGTGGAGAAACGAAGGGATGAGAGCTAAGTTCTGAGGCCAAGAGGGCGGCAGCGCCTCCGTGCCATGTGGAAGAAAGCCACAGTGAGAGGCGGAGCTGACTCATCAAAACACAGGAGAGAAACTTACAACTCCAGGGAAGTGGAGGGAAGGCGGACAGGAGATGCAAGACACGGCACAGTAAGTGAGACAGAAGCAGAAAGAGAAACAGGAACGGTCACAGCGTAAACAACACTCCCAACGAAAGCCTCATGCGCATTTCAGGTCTCAGGGAGGTCTACACCTCAGTGCTAAGCGGGCCTTTCCACACCTTTGGATTGTCGATAATTGGGGTGACAACAAGATCTGAGTCCGTGTAGATAAGCTCTCTCATCTGGGATTCCAGGTCCTGCTGACTCAGGTGTCCACTTGTAGCCTGAAATTGGAACAAAAATTAGACTTCGTTTCTGTGACGAATGTAGAGCTTCAAAAGACTGAACTAGTAAGATGCTGAGGAAGACACCACTGCTAGAGGTCACCTAGATCGATGCGCCTCAACTGCTATTCAAGACACCTGCGCTCTCATTTGCTTTTCGCAAAAACCCTGAACTGTAGGTACCATCATTCCCATTTCACAGATAAAATATAAGACTCTGCAAAAGTAACTGAATTGCTCATGTTACCAGTAAGGCTGGATAAGAAAAAAGATATTTACAGTTCAATGTTCTAAGCTGTGACGAGGCAAATTGGTTTTTCGATTAATTACCAGCACAGCTGTTTTATTTATTTATTTATTTATTTTGAGACCAACTCTCACTCCATCACACAGGCTGGAGTGCAGTGGCACCACCTCAACTCACTGCAACCTCTGCCTCCCAGGTTCAAGTGGTTCTCCTGCCTTGACCTCCCAAGTAGCAGAATTACAGGTGCATGCCACCATGCCCAGCTAATTTTTATATTTTTACTAAAGACGAGGTTTCACCATGTTGGCCAGGCTGGTCTCGAACTCCTGGCCTCAGGTGATCTGCCTGCCTCGGCCTCCCAAAGTGCTGGGATTACAGGCATGAGCCACTGCGACTGACCCACGGCTTCAGTTTTCATTCACAGAATGCTAATCAATTTATTTCTGCTTTACAGAATATTCAACGTGAAGCTGAAGCTGTAACACACACGCAAATTTCAGACTTAAATACAGACCTGTTACCTGAGTGTTAAACATCAATTATTTATTAAGCCTAGTTAGAGTTGATACATAATAAAATGAATCACCATTCACCATCAGTTATTCCTTTGAGATGGTTCTTTGTGCTCTATTTAAATATAATTTGTATTCCTAGTATTATGCCTCAGTATTTGCTAACAGGGGGGAAAAAAAGAGGATTTATGCTTAAGAACCATAAAAGAAACAATGACTAGCAAACTAAATAAAACAGAAAAGCAAATCTGTGAAGTAAGGAATAAGAAAAACAAGTTATTCAAAACTGAGCAAGGAAGGGACTTGGATAAAGGAACAGAGGAGCTCGCTAAGGAAGTTCCTGGAAACCCAAGATGCCCCTTGCAACTCGGAAGAAAGACACAAGAAAACATACAAAGAAGCCAGGCGTGGTGGCTCATGCCTATAATCCCAGCACTTTGCGGGGGCTGAGGCAGGCGGATCATGAGGTCAGGAGTTTGAGACCAGCCTGGCCAACATGGTGAAACCCCGCGTCTACTAAAAATACAAAAATTAGCTAGATGGTAGTGGTGTGTGCCTGTAATCCCAGCTACTCGGGAGGTTGAGGCAGAAGAATCGCTTGAGCCTGGGTGGGGAGGTTGCAGTGAGCCAAGATCAGGCCAGTGCACTCCAGACTCCAGATTGGGCCACACAGTGAGACCCCGTCTCAATCAATCACTGGACTGTCACACCTGCTAGATGTGAAACAGCATGGCTATCGCAAGAAAGACAATAGCCAACAGGTGGGGCAAACCAGGTATCCATCAAGAGACGGGAAGATAACAAAGCCTATTCAACACATACAAGGGAATGTTATTCAGCCTTAAAAACAAATGAAATTCTGGCACCTGCTACAACATGGGTGAACGTTCAAGACATGGGGCTAAGTGAACTGAGCCAGGCACAAAAGGGCATATACTGTATGAGACCACTGGTGCCAGCAGTCCCCAAACTTTCTGGCATCAGGAACCAGTTTTGCAGACAAACCAGGTTGGGGGAAACGATTTGGGGATGATTCAAGCATGTTACATTCATTGTGCACTTTTTTTTTTTTTTTGAGACAGAGTCTTGCTCTATCGGCCAGGCTGGAGTACAGTGGCACGATCTCAGCTCACGGCAACCTCCGCCTCCTGGGTACAAGCAATTCTCCTGCCTCAGCTTCCTGAGCAGCTAGGACTACAGGCACGCGCCACCACCCGCAGCTAATTTTTGTATTTTTAGTAGACACATGTTTTCACCATGTTGGCCAGGATGGTCTCGATCTCCCGACCTCCTAATTTGCCCGCCTCGGCCTCCCAAAGTGCTGGGATTACAGGTGTCAGCCACCGCGCTCGGCACAGTGCACTTTATTTCTCTCATTATTACACTGAAATATGTAATGAAATAATTATACAGCTCACTAGAATACAGAATCAGTAGGAGCCCTGAGCTTGTTTTCCTACAGCTAGGCGGTCCCATCTGGGGCGACAGGAAACACTGACAGATCATCAGGCATTAGATTCTCATGAGGAGCACACAGCCTAGATCCCCTACATGGGCAGCTCACAACAGGGGGCATGTTCCTCTGAGAATGTTGAACGTCACCACCCATCTGACAGGGGTCAGAGCTCAGACGGCAATGCAGGTGACGGAGCGCGGCTGTGAATACAGATGCTTCACTCACTCGCCCGCCACTCACTTCCCGCTGCGTGGCCTGGTTCCTAAGAGGCCACGGACCAGCAGCAGTCCATGGCCAGGTTGTGTAGAATGAGCATGGAGAAGAATGGCAGAAACGTGGGGTGGCCGGCGGCAGTGCCTGCTGATGGGTAGTTTCTTTGCTGGATGATGAGACAGTTAACTGTGGTGACAGCTGCACACCTCTGAATATACTACAGGTCCCTGAATTGTACCTTTTTTTTTAAGAGGTGGGGTCTCACTCTGTCACCCAGGCTGTCAGAGCTCACCACAGCCTGAAACTCCTATGATCAAGCAAGCCTCCCACTTCAGCCTCCCATGTGGCTGGGGGTACAGGTGTACCACCAAATCCACGTAAAAACATGTACACAAATGTTCACAGCAGCATTTTCATCACAGCCCAAAGGTAGAATCAACCCAGTTAGTTTTTTTTTATTTTTGTGTGAGGACAGGGTCTTGCTAAGTTGACCAGGCTGGTCTCGAACTCCTGCCCTCAAGTGATCCTCCTCCCTCAGCCTCCCAAAGTGCTAGAATTACAATTCACACCCAGCCTGAACTGTCCTCCTTAAATGGGTGAATTGTATGGTAGGTCAACTGTATCTCAAGGAAGGTCTTACCAAAAGATCAACCATGGGGCACCTAAATGGGCTCTCTCTCTCACAGCACTTACAAGAAAACCCATGGCCATCAGGAAAAATGATCTTATTGTGAATTTTGAAATCATAAACATAATTCATTGATCAACTTACAATTATTCTTTTGAGCTTCTACATCTTCTGTAGAAAGAAAATTTCCCACGTCTGCTCACCTTGGTCAAAGGAGAAGTCTTCTGTGGTGAACTGTGAGTCACATCCTCACCAGGACTTACTTCCACTGCACTGCTAGTTCGTGGCGTAGGACGAGAACTGAAAAATCCACACCAGTTAATGTTATTCAGTTTTCAGAGATTTTATTCTCTGTTTACTGTTTTCTGGAAGAAAACATGTCTCATGAAAACTGGTAGAGTATGATGATTCCATATGATCTCGCATTTGTTGATATAATTTTTATAGCTGCTATCAATTTCCTGGCTACTGTACT